GGCGGCCTCGAGCGGTGCAGACACACCACCAGGTCGTCCAGACCCTTCAAGTGTAGCACCACCAGCTGGTCCCGCCCGCTGGTCACGCTCAGCCCCGTCACCTGGGGGTCAGGGTCAGGGTCAGGGCCAGAAGGAGCAAGTCCTCCTTCTGACCCCCAGGACCCAGCCTCTGGGGCCCCCCCGGCTGCTCCTCCGTGGGTCCCTGGGTCCGCTTCCTCCTTGTGGCTCCCGAGTGAGTGCCTGCAGCACTGGTGGGACTGAGGGGCTGGCCTTCCTCCTAAGCAGCCACACCCCTTGGTCTGCACAGGACCTGGACCCGCCTGGGCCAGTCCTTGTCCCGAGGAGTGGAGGGAGGGAGATCTCCCAGCCGCACAGGTGTGGGGAGAGGGCCCACCTGGGGCTGAGTAGGGGTGTGGGGATGGGGCTGTGCCCACAGGAAGCCATGCAGTCTGGGGCTGGTGGTGGGGGCATCTGAGCGGAGACTGTTCTAGGACGTTCCAGGCACCCCAGGCAGGTGGGAGGGGAGGGGCCCATGGACGCTGCTCCCGCCCCCACAGGCTCACCAAGTCCAGGGGCACGGCCCGCATCACCCGGTACTGCCGGCCGGGCTCCAGCTTATACAGGTGCCGGTCGGTGAGCAGCAGGGCGCGGTCCCGCCTCTTGTTGAAGCGGTTCACCTGAAGGCAGATGCTGGGGTCAGTGCCCCCGGGCACCCCAGCTCCGCCCTGTGTTCTCCCTGCCTGGGCCGGAGCTGACCCCTTCCCAAGTGTCAGCGCAGCTGGGAGACAGCCGGCCGGGCCGCACCGCCCACCGCTCACCTTGCGGACGTGGCTGGAGAAGAGCACCGCCCCGAAGCCGTCCTTGTCCCGAAGCGACTTCAGGCGCTGAGCGAACAGGCTGGAGGCGGCAGGGTTGTCGGCGGCCTGAGCACAGATGGGGGCAGCTTGGGACGGGGTCTGGGACCATGTTCGACTGGCAGCCACTCTGGGTGAGTGGCACAGCCACCCTGACCTTGGGAACCCACGTCGGGCGGGGCATGCACCGCCTTTGCTGGGCCACCCGCTACACTGAGGGCCAGCACAGACCTCACAGCCTACGGTTCAAGACATCAGGTTTCTGCCCTCCACACCGGCCCCTGCCTGCTCCTCAGGTCAGACCTGGACCTCAGCAGGTGGACGCTAAGACGGCAGCAGCCAGCGGGGACCAGGCCCCCCCATGCCAACACCCCTGGGCCTCTTCTGCAATCCAGCCAGGGGCCTGCGGGCAGCCCCTGCCCACTGAGGGCCAAGGGGAGCTCTGGCCAGGATGCCAACTGAGCTTGGGGGGGCGCTGTGTCTGAGGACAGGGGTTTCGACTGCACCTGAGAATGGGGGCCGGTGTCCTTGAGAATAAGGGGGTTGGCCTTAGAATGGGGGGCAGGAACGGGAGCAGGGCCGAGGAGCAGGTGCTCCCTGAAGCCCAGGCCAGTGGTTCTGAGTGAAAACACTTAAACTTCAGGCTGGCGGGCGTGGCTCAGTTGACCTATGAACCAGGAGGTCATGGTTCGATTCCCGGTCAGGGCACATGCCCTGGTTTCGAGGTCGATCCCCAGTGTGGGGTGTGAAAGAGGCAGTGGATCAATGATTCTCTCTAATCATTGATGTCTCTATCTCTCTCCCTCCCTCTCCCTTCCTCTATGAAATCAATAAAAAAATAAATTTAGGCTCTAACTGGTGTGGCTCAGTGGATAGAGCGTCGGCCTGTGGACTGAAGGATCCCAGGTTCAATTCCGGGCAAGAGCGTGTACCTTGGTTGCGGGCACATCCCCAGTTGGGGTTGTGCAGGAGGCAGCTGATCGGTGTTTCTCTCTCATCTGTTTCTCATCGATGTTTTTAACCCTCTATCCCTCTCCCTTCCTCTCTGTAAAAAAATCAATAAAATATATTAAAAAAAATAAATTTAAAACAAACAAACCAAAACCTCCACAATGCCCTAGCCACCAGTGATGGCAAACCTATGACATGCGAGTTAGGGTTTTTCAAAATCCTGACACGCCGAGCTCAAAAGGTTCGCCATCACTGCCCTAGCCAGTTTGGCTCAATGGCTAGAGTCTCAGCCTGTGGAACAAAAGGTCCCAGGTTCGATTCCTGGTTACGGGTTCGATTCCCGGTTGTGGGCTCCATCCCCAGTAGGGGGTGTGTGGGAAGCAGCCGATCAATGATTCTTTCTCATCATCATTGATGTTTCTATTTATCTCGTCCTCTCCCTTTCTCTGAAATCAGTAAAAATATGTATTTTTAAACAACAACAACAACAAAGCACTTAAACTTCAGAGGCAGAGGCCCCGTGGGCCCAGCCTGGCACTCACAGAGGACAGGTAGTCTCGCAGCCAGGCCCGCCGGCAGCCCCAGTCCGGCCGCAGCTCCTGCAGGGCCCCCATGGCGGCCACCTTGGCTTTGATCTGGGCCATGTCGGAGGGGGGGATGTTCTTCACCACCTGCCGTGCCCGCCACCTGCAGGGGACAGGAGCTCAGAGGGGCCTAAGCAGCCCCAGGTTCCCACCCCAGGTCCTGCCTCGCACTCTCAGCCTGGCCCTGGCCACCAGCCATGTCCCAGCCACCCCTCCTGCTGAGCTGCTGGTCACCCTGTGGCCCTCTTCCGGGAGAACTCCTACTCAGCCTGCAAAGCCCCACGCCCAGCCCCGCCTGCCACCCTCCCCTGCAGGCCTGTGTCCCCTCCGGTGCCCAGCGTGGTGGGACCGCAGGGTCTGCTACCAACTGCGGAGTTCTGGCCGGTTTGGCTCAGTGGATAGAGCAGCGGCCTGGGACTGAGGGGTCCCTGGTTGATTCAGGTCAAGGGCACAGGCCCGGGTTGCGGGCTGGATCCCCAGTAGGGGGCGTGCAGGAGGCAGCCGCTCAATGGTTCTCTCATCATTGATGTCTCCATCTCTCCCCTCTCCCGTCCTCTCTGAAATCAATAAACATATTTCTAAAAGCAAACACACACAGCCGGCTTTCCCGCTGTGTC